CCAACAGAGCAGTTGAGAACAAAAAAAGCAATGTCTCTGGATAGATTTAAAATAACATTGAATTTAATTTTTTTTTCACAGCAAACAAGATGTTCTCTGGCAAATGATATGAATCCTTTGTCAAGGCTGTCCAGATGGCCTTTGTGAATAAAATACTGCACACAGCAGTGACATACTTGTTGGACAGATAACTTGCAGATTTGGAAACAGCCTGTTGGAGAGCTTCTTCATTAAACTAATAATGTTTCTGGTGATTTGGTTACAAGAAGCCAAAGGCCTGGTGACAATTTCACAGAAAAGAAAGTTTTAGCTGCTATGACAACCTGAACAACTGTGTTTCTCCTCATGACAACCTGTCTGAATTATATAAAGTCATGAACCCACAATGGAAAATAGATTGCAGAAAGGTCTGTAAGAAATGTTAAACTATACCTGGGAGATGACAAAAAAAAAAAACTTAATATAATGATTCTGTTACCCTTTTCGTGAAATAAGATTGAGAAGATTGTAAGGATGTGGAAAGCTGCTTTGGTTATTGCTTTGATGCTTCTTTTACAAACCTTTTTTTCCCCAGCAAAATAGGTACAGCTCAAAACAGGAGTTCTTCAGTTGCCTTTATTGGCAACAAAGTGGTCTCAACACAGTTAAAAATAAAGCAGAAAAGACAGGATGAAGAAAAAAGATGAACAAGACAAATTTTTAAGAAAAGCGAGGCTTGAATAAAAGACAAACACAACAAATTTCCAATAAATGTGAGGCTTTTAAAAATATAATTCTCTATTCCTAAAAGACTGTCTTTTAATTTCTTTTTCTAATTCTATACCAGAGAGTTTGCCAATCCAATTTTCTAACACGCCCATTGGGTTTCTCTGATATCTCTCTACTTTCCCCTGTAAATTCAGCTTTAAAAAATTTTCCACATGTATTCCAAAATACCAAAAATGTCTTTCTTTTTTGACTGTGCCTTCCTGAAAAAGTAACAAAACAAACTTCCATGTTGTGATGGGGGTTTTTTTCAAAGAAATTTTATGAAACATGATATTTAATATTCCTACAAACATAGCAACAAGGAGACAATATTGAAAGAAACCAACATTCTGGAAATGAACCCAGTAGATCAGACCAGTATGTTTCTTGCTTTGTACTTTCAAGCACTGATGTGAAACAAAATTTACCCATGCAGAGCCTTAGAGCTCCTTCCAGATCTCAGTCCAAATTCTTGCACTGCAAGAACAAGAGCAGCAGACATATAATTTGTTTGAATAGTACTCCTACCATTATATGCAATCACCTGAATACAGATCTGTGTGCTAGTGGTTGTTTCCATCTCCTCCAATGAAGCTAACTGACTGGAGGTAATCCACTGCCTAAGAGTTAATCCCTCTGAATACGATTCCCTGAATTTCTAGTTAATCCACTATAGCCTACAAATGGGTTCTCCATTGCAGGTTTAACATCAAAGTCTGCCAATGTAAATGTTCCCTAGTTAATAAATAACCCAAACAAGCATTTAGCTGAAAAGCCATTTAACATCAGCTGTAATAAGTGACAAAGAAAATTATGATAGAGAACATCTCTTGAAGAAGATGAGAGAGGGCAGAGGAAGGGAATCTGATCTGTAATGAACGCGGTCCTACTGCTTGTTTACCCTGATTGCTGCACTGGAGCTAAAGGGGGTGCATGACAACCATGCAGTGTGGCTGTGACAGCTTCCATTCCCCTAATAACATTGCACCCTTCCCAGTATTATTCTATCAGGTGTAGCACGTATAAAGTAGTGCACATCATTCTCAATAATATGATATAATCACAAGGACCTTTATGGATGAATAGATTATTTGAGCAGGACACTAATTTTCCAGACAAAAATGGAGCAAGACAAGAAATACAAAGGTACATCTAGCACTGTTTTTTACCTACTTCTTAATGATTATAGACCTTCAGTCTGGCAAAACCTTACTTTGAAAGAGCTGCTATTTTTGTTTTTTTGCAGCAGTTATCTTTTAGTGTAAACACAGACACTGATATACCCATTATGCAAGCAAATGGAAACAACTGAAGCTGATAAAAACAAGTTTATAATCTAAGGGTCCATTATCATCATACAGGGCCTGCTTTTCTCCTTTGAAGTCAGTGGGATTTTGTCATTGCCACCAATGGAAATATAGTCAGATATTTAGTCCATATGGTGAATTTGCTATGTATTACTTCCTTAATCACAGAAACAGCTACTTCAGAACCTTTGAGTTGATCAGGCATTATTATTAAAAACCCTACTTTAAATCATATGTTGTATGTGCTGTCTACTTCCTATTTTAGATAAAAGCAAATTACTCTGAAAATATGCAAATATTAGTGAAGAAAGGAAAAAAAAAGAAAAGAAATGTTAAAAAGAGGAGTGGGACCATTTGGAGGAACATGGTGACCATGTCTAGATTTTGGCAGCTGTAGCAATGCAAGCAATAGAGGAATTAGGCTGTGGAGAGACCTGATGAGCTTGTTGTCAAATTGAAAATGGGAGTATAATGATATGTGAGATAATTTGCCTTTGACACAAATGAAAACATTGGACTTCTGATGATCAGATAATCAGCTAATAAAGCCTGGGGCTGTGCTAATTTTTTTGAGTGGAATGTGTTTAGACAGGATGATGGACATTGATAAGGCATTTATGTCATGGCACAGTTGTGATTCCAAAGAGTTTGGTAAGATATTTGTAAAATGAATCTGAGCCTAACAATGTAGTGAGTGTGGAGATGATATAAAAGCAAATGAATCTGATCTCTAACCAATAGAGACTAGGATATGAGTGTATATTGCAACACATGGCCATATGTAAATTTAAATAATGTATAAATCAGATGGCACAGTTTATGAAAATCAATGTATTTGCAGTGGTTCTTTGGAGAAGGCTAAGATGTGCAGTGAAAGAAGAAGGATCATTTAGATGTGTGTGGCTGTGCGTGGAAAAGAGGTGTAACGTGAGAGGACAGGGTGAAAAAGCATTGGGTGTGAGAGACTGAGTAGGAGGATAAAAGATGTAGGAGATAAAAGGGCTGAGAGAGGAGAGATATAGACAAGGTAAAATGTATGTCTGATCTTAAAGATAAGGGTAAATAGCTTTGGTTCAGTACAGTGAGCAACAGGAAGCCAAGTAGTGATTCATATGGCCAAAACAACAGAAGAGGAGATGACACAGAAGCCTAGTTTTGGAGAGATTATTGGGGAAGATAAGTGGAAAAAAAAAGGAAAACATTAGAGAAAAGGATATAAATGAGCATCAGACTGTATATGAAGATATTAGTAGACACAGTCATAAAGCAAATATACTTATATTCTGCACTACATACTCACAGGAAGTCTCCATTTTCAGGCTTTTAATATTATGGATGAGTTTAATTTGTTGTGTTTCTTTTTCAAAATAATTCCAAATAAAGGTGTCTTCAGCCATTGATTAATCATTTGCCAAACTTAGTTTTTAATTAAAAGTGCTGTGTGAGTACATAAAGGGATAAACATCAAAGTTGCTCCATTTTGCTATTGTTAAAATGGGAAAAATGGTTTTTTCCTTTGGAATTTTAAGTTTTATATTACATTATTTAGCCCAAGGCAAATATTTTTTTATGGCTGAATTATAAACTTCTTGAGAAACAGGTTTATAACAGAAGTGCAGACAATCTTCAAAAAAGCATTATAAACACCAAGTCAAATTATGAAGCAAAGATGGGCCTGAACCCAAACCCCAAAGCTAGCCACTCCATTAACTTTTACATACGTTGGATTCAGATTCAGTCTTTGTAACACTAACTTGCCATAAAATCCCATTACTGATGTGAAAATGGAGAGCTGAACAAATGTGTAAGCAGTTGCAGGATCAGGACCTAAAATTCCATGACTAAAATGTGAGAAGTGGATTATAAAAAGACACTTCTGAATGTTTCATTTGATGCCAGTTTATATTCAAGATTATTAAAGATTAAACATTTTCAGGTAAATACATGTAAACCAAGGGTAGAATGTCTTCACTCATCATTCCAGGGCAATTCATATACAGGAGAAAACTGTGTTTATATAGAGAGAAAAAGGTGGGTGGAAAAATTCGACTGGTGTCATTCATGTTATGATAGGGAAGGACATTAATGTACCAGACTCTGGTACATTGGCCAGGCCTTGAGACATCAACAGGGAAAAAATAAAATAAAGTCCCATTGTGGGATCCAAAATGCCCACACAGTGCTGAGGAAGGGCAGAAATCCTCTTCTATGGGCCATGGTAGCCCCAACAGAGGCCATTTCTGTCCAGCTGTCTCTGCAGCCTGTTGCACATCTCTGTCTCTGCAAGAAGAGGAAGCACTGATATTTGAGACCCAGGCATGTTGAAATAAACCTTGGTATATGGATTAGTGATTACTGGCTAGGCTCAGGTGATAAAAGCAACTTTCACCATTATTTTACAATTTATCACATTGTACCATCTTCCTTAATGTACATGTTCTGTCTGCATTTAAGTGTTTTCTTCCAGAGAAAGGAATTTCTTTAAAATACATTAGCTACTAAAAACTATGTCTCCATCTGTAAAATGCAACTTATTAATCAGACAGGGAAAAAAAAATCAATGAAACACAGTGGTTGGTTGGTTGGTTGGTTGGTTGGTTGGTTGGTTGGTTGGTTGGTTGGGAGCATCTTTACAGTGTACAGCTGGCAATGATTATTTCCTTTCTGCAGATTCCTAGAAATCACCTGACAGAAAATGCTAATCCAAAAGCAGGAGGGCCATCACTGTCCTGTAGTAAGTGTGTTTTTTGATGTACATGCTTTCTGGGTATTGTCACTTAGAGAATTAATCTTGGTTGCTGGAACTGGTTTTAAAACAAACATGTATCTATATATTTCTGCAAACCCTTAGTAAGCAACCATCAGCAGGTAATTTCTGTTTTCAAAAATAGATTTACTTTATTTTAAAAGCTATATTGTTGCTCAAACAATCAAACTACGATCAGGTCAGAACCCATTTATCTCAAAGACTGTCCAGCAGAATGAGTTTTAATAATCAGAAAGCACTGTTAACTCTCCTCTTCCCCCGTGTTCTGGGAATGTCTCTAAAAGAAAAAAAAATAAAGGGGGCTTAATGTGCTACCCATAAAATATACATCCCAATCAATCAGGAAAATGCATAAGTATTGCAAATGATGATCCAGAGACTGCCTAAAGATGGGGAAATGAGACTGAACCCAATAACTCAATCTGACTAGTTCCAGCCTGCCTGTTTCTAGCCTGCCTGCAGACACAGGCATGGGCAGAAGCAGGGTCATGGGCAGGGGCAGAAGCAGAAGCCAACAAAAGAAAGAATTAAGTGTACAGAGAGTATAACAGGATCAAACTGCATTTTAGTGTACAATATTAGGGAATTGTAATAATGGAACAGAAGGGGAATGTCTGGAAAAAACTCAGAAAGTAGTGGTGAGAGAGTATGCAGCATGAAACCAGCAGACAAATTTCCTAGAGACTTAATCTCCAGACTTCAGCTGACCTTAAACTCAGGGCTTCAAAAGGGCAGCAAGGGAGAGTGAGAGTAGAAATCTCAGACTCAGGGCTAGAGACAAAGGGATGGATTTGAGTATGGTTTCTGTACACAGATGTAACATGTTTGTAGTTAATCTGTGCGGCTGCAGACTGACAACTATGTTTGAAAACTATTTCTAACAGGGCTATATCTTCAAAGTGGACAGGGGTTTACTGCCTTTGGAGGATGACCCTGTCCCCAGCAAAACTCAGCTCTTTTCCCACTGCATCCTTCAGAAAAACTCCTTATGGAGTAGGTCTTCTATCAGGCCTTTTTCCTGAGGAAGCATTAACAGAGTTTGCCTTGACTGTGCACCAGTGACAAATTGTTTTCAAATTGCCCTGGGACATGACAGTGGCTGACATCACCACTGGCTGCAGGTAATTCTCCTAGCACAGACACATCTTTGGGAACCTTTAAGACTGTGTTTCAGCTTTCAGCCTTGGAGCTCTTCCTGTAACCCCTATCCCAGCAACTGGATTGCCCTCACATAGAGGGTGTGCAATGTACTCCACGTAAAAGAAGGAGTTGTGTTCAGCAAGGTGATGGCTCCCCAGGTGCAGGGACAGCCTGTAAGGCAGGGTAATAGGGCAAGGAAGAGACAGGGCCCGTAGGCTGTGAGCACCAGGCTGTGCAGCCAAAGCAGCAGGATTCAGAGCCTGATATGTCCCTGCTTTGTTCCACTCCTATGGTGCCAGAGTGGAGGGAGAATGCTCAGGAGGAGAGACACACTCCCCAGTGGGGATTTCACACTGCACAGCCTCCTTCGGGAGCAGAGCCGGCCCTGGGGGACCCCAGCAGCTCCTCAGCCTCTCAAGAGACTTCATGAGAGACAGACAGACTGAGGGGGGCAAAGCTGCAACGGGAGCTGAGAGAGACGGGAACGACAGCAAGAGTGGGTGAGAAAGGAGGTGGGAAAAGAGTCGGAAGGGAGGGGATACAGGGAGGTGCAGATATGCAGTGGCCAGATGAGCCTGACACCTGGGGCTAGGTACTCTGACGGGGAATCCTGGCAGCTCACCCCACATCAGCACAGCCTGCTTCCCCTAGGACAAGAAGGGACGGTGGTGTCCCAATGGGGAAAGGGCAGGGACTTCGAGGGACACGCACTCTCGCACGAAACAAAAAAAGAGTGTTGGAAGGGGTAGAAGGTGGCGGAGGAGGGAAAGGTGGCAGAGGGGATGGCCCGGGAAGGGACGGGGCAGGGATCCCGCGGGGTACCCGAGGCGGGCGAGCCGGGAGGTGGGCAGGGATGCGTGCGTGTGTGCGTGTCTGTGTGTGGGGCCGGGGCGACGGGGGCGGCCGGGCAGGGCATGGCAGGACACGGCAGGGCAGGGCTGGCAGGACACGGCAGGGCAGGGCGGGCAGGACACGGCAGGGCAGGGCGGGCAGGACACGGCAGGGCAGGGCTGGCGGGGCCGCGCAGGAGCCCGCGGGGCGCAGGTGGTGCCGCCGCCCGCATCGGCTCTACCTGCCGGGGCGGGGGCCTCTCGCCCCCCTGCGCTCCCCGCGTTCCCCCTCGCCAGTCCCCGCCTCGGCTGAGTGCCAGAGCTAGGGCTTGCCGTGTTTGTTTGTTCGTTCTTCCGCGCTGCCGATGTCTTGGGGGGCTGAGGAGGAGAAGGAGGAGGAGGAGAAGGAGGAGGGCGGGGAGGGGGAGGGGACTGGGGCTTGGGAGACGGCGGTTCCTCGGCCTCTCTTATTGCCGCTGAGTTGCGCTCCTCTTCCTCAGGCTGCGAGCAGGAGCCGCCCGGGCGCTTCCCACTTCCCCGCCGGCCGGCAGTGCCTGCTGCGGCAGCGCTCGCCCGCTCGCCTCCCGCCGGGGCAGGTGAGTGCGGGGCACCCCGGGCACCCCGGGCACCCCGGGCACCCCGGCACCGCCGCTCCACGGTCCGGCCCCGCTGGAGCCGCGGCCGCCGGAGAGCGGGCAGGCAGGGGGGACGCAGTTTGCCAAACTCCAGCCCCGGCTGGTCCCCGCTCACGGCCGCTTTCCCTTCCTTATCTCCCCTCTGCAGAGCACCCTCGCCCAGCAGAGCGCTCCCGAGGTGTCGGCAGCCGCCAGTATTTTTTTGTCTGTCTTGTTTGTGTGTTTGTTGGGTTTTGTTTTTGTTATTTTTTTCCCCTCGTTTTTATTTGGCTCTCTAGTCTCGCTGGGAATGGCAGGGGCAGCGGCTCCTGGAGAAGGAACAAGTGTGGGGAAAGGGAGAGGGAGCCGGAGCTAAATGACAGGATGCGGGCGGCTTGAGGCACAGAGAGAAGCCAGCCTCCTTCTGTCCCCGAGACTGCCCCTGCGGACCGTGCTTTCTGCTCCTCACTCCGGCTGGAGGATTTAAGGAAGAGTTGTGCGTGGAAGGCATTTTTATTTTTTTTTTTCCTCCTTTCCCTGCTGTCGGAAGGGAAAATGGATTGGGGACTTCTCCTACACTGTGCAGCCCTCACCTTCACCCTCGCCAGGGCTCTGCGGAGCGGTGAGTGTCACGGGGGCCGCCGGGTGTCAGCTCGGGCAGTGCGGGGCCGGGCTCGGGGCTGCCGGCGGGGGCGGGCGGCGGTGCCCGGCGGGCCGTGGGACCGGCACCGGCACAAACCCACCGGGGGGAACTTTCTGCCAGAGGAGGGATGCGCCGCATCCCCGACATTGCTCTTCGACTTTATTTTCTGCTTTTTTTGGGTTATTGTATAAAGCAGGCTGTTCATTCTCACTAGATTAGGACAGCCAATTATCTTAATAGCGTCCCGTCCCATAGGCAATTAAACGTCTCTCCTTCGATATCTGGAAGATAATGAACGCTTTAAAGGGAAGGCTCTCTTCCCCGCCCGCCCTTTCTGTTTTCCAAAGCGTAAAATTTTAGATCGTGCCTACTGCTAGCTGTTGTGTACCTGCGAATAATCTTCACACGGAGCACTCTCTAGAGTACCCCTTTCCCAAGTCTGCAGTTTACGTGCAACTTACACTGTGCCAAGAGGGGAGCTGAGCTTCTCTGAAGGCTCGAGACTCCCTTCCAAGAGGAGAAATCCCATAACGAATGAGTGGTGTGTCTAGTTTACTGTCAGGCAACCCTTGAAAACACAACTAATTAAAAGCAGCGTGCTCCTCCTTCCCCGAACAATGCCAGGGCACTGTGAATATTTTACTGCATGATGCATTTTTAAAGATGGTCTAATTGTGGGACTGCTTGACGTTTAGCTCTTGCACATGAAACAGCTCATGTGAGTCTTCCTGTCCGGAGAAATCCTGAGCAATTATTATTAACTAATTATCAAATATTTACTTTTGCCTGACTGGGTTTTCAATCAAAGTAATTAAAAGAAGTGAGCATCCTCCACTTACACTGGTATATTGTTTTAATAAGGGACCACAAGTGGAGTGTCAAGCAAGAGTATTAAAATCACGTGTTTTATGATGGAAGTTAATCTCTTTCCCAATATGTTTTGAGGAGGCTGCTTAGTTTAATCAGGAGCTTCCTCCTCCAGTGCTGTGGCACAGGAGCAAAGGTGCTAGAGGGGTGCATCAAGCCTGGTGTGGGGATGCTCTGAGAGGTGCACTTTGCTCATCCCCCCAGCCCAGCTCGGGGTGTGGGCAGCTGCCTCCCACATAGACCCATACTGCCACCCTGTCCCTCTGAGGGACAGAAGGGAGCCACCCCCATGCTCCTGTTGATCATTTCTCCCTGTGAAAAGAGGAAGAGGAGAGCAAGTTGCTGGGCAGAAGCCTCCACCACGAGTGGCTAATGTGGTGGTCCTGCTGGAGTCACCAAGGCCATTAACCTCCTCTACCACCTACCAGACCTACTAATGCCACCTTCACCTACACGCAGTATTAGTGTCCACTAAATTAATTCATTAACCTTATTTGGAACTAATGGTCCAAAGTCATTAGAAACTGCTCTTCTTAATCAAGTGTGAGAGAGATTGCACAGAGCCAAGGAGTCTAGCAGACTGCATTATCTTATTACACTGTCACTTTCCCAGAAGTCGCAGATTAAGGAGCGCTGGTGGTACTGAGTCCACCTCAGTGTCCTCTGAAGTGACTCTGTCAAGTGACTAGAAGCAGCACTGCTTTATTTCAGGCGTTTAACAGATGCCAGACCCTGCCATGATGTTTGCAGGGCTGGAGTGGGCTTAATGAGACAAGATCACTTTCCGAGTATGCTTACACAGGGAGGAAAAGGCAAGATTCCCTGAGAGCCCCAGACAGCGGATTAGCAAGATCGCCAGTGACAGCTTTTGAGCTTTAAGCACCAATGCCTTTTGTTCTGGTCAGAGGAAAACAGCCTGTTTGCAAAGGCACAGCAGAAATATAATAAGATAGCTTTTCCTAGAGACGTGCTTGGCAGTATCTTGGTTTTGACCATACATCTGAGTACCTATCAACCCCTTCCCTCCTAATTTATGGCAAATAATTTCTATAAAGAGTGTTGCTTTATGCATTTTTGATGTGTGCTTGCTCATTCATTTCCATTTGACCTGGTTTTTCCTACAACAAAATTCTGTATATTTATAAATTCATGCTGTGAGCAAGGATTGCCATTTTGCTTTCACAGGGAATGTATTAGATAGAGCACTGCAGTCTGTATATACCATTATTGAGATGTAGTGATATATAGTCTGGCTTTAGTGGAACATTCTTCCTACCCATAGTTTACTGTCATGTTTTATTGCTCAAAATTAAACAACCAACACTTGGAGAAAGTTTTTCCTACCTGAAGGTCCACAGAAAGAAATCCATAGTAGTAAAAAAGTGATAACACAAAATTGCACTGGACAGTGAAGTGAGTGACTGTGTGGAGGTTGGATGTTTTTGTCTCTTTTTTTTTTCTATGAACCTTAAAATGCAACCCTGACAATGCTGACCAAAGGAGCAAGATGCAGCATACCACATTTCACCGTCACACTTTGTGATTCTAGAAACTTTTGCAACTATTTTGCTATTAGAAATAAATCTTTGTTGTTGTTCAGGGGAGGAAGGAATGAGGGGAAGAGGAAGGGAGGTTGTTCTGCTCCATTACTTTGATGCAGTCTCCAAGCATGAACAAACGTCCTTGAAAGAGTAAATAGCGGATGATTTCTGCTTCACTAGAGCTACTTTGTTCTCTTCTATCCTGGGTTTGAAGAGCACAGATAGTTTCAACCTGCCTAGATTTATAGACTGATAAAACAAAGGGAGGGTGTCCTGCTTGGATCCACCAATACAATCCCAATGGTCGGTGACACAGACCAGACTTATCCCATAGCTGGGCAGGGGGTCAAATAGCATCTCTTAACATCTCCTCCCAGCTTTTCTTGAAACTTCACACTTAAGAAGAGTATAGTTTTTGGAGTTAGTTGTGTCCCATGTACACTTCTCAGCCAATATTTACGCTGTTATGAAGGGGCAAGGCCTTTACGCTGTAAGGGGTACTGTTGGAGTGGAGGGCTTTTTAAAAGCATACTGTGTAGAAATGGGGATGCCTTCTGCTATCTGCTGTCTCTCCAGCCACCGGATTTAAGGAATGGGAGACGGAGAGGGAGTCCTCTTCTCTCCGGTAGAAAGTAGCTCAGATGCCTTTAAAGGCAGAAGGATGCTAAGTTAGCCTGGAGAAGGCTGCGGCCCCGCAGCACTCCCACGGCAGTCTGCCGGGTCCGCTGCTGCCGGGGGCACTGAGACCAGCCCGTGTGTTCGCTTCCCCCGCAGACAAGTGTGGCGACACGATCAAAATTTTAAGCCCCGGGTACCTGACGTCTCCCGGCTACCCGCAGTCCTACCACCCCAGCCAGAAGTGCGAGTGGCTGATCCAGGCGCCGGAGCCGTACCAGCGCATCATGATCAACTTCAACCCGCACTTCGACCTGGAGGACCGCGACTGCAAGTGAGTGAGCCAGGGGCGATGGGCGAGGGGCGAGGGGCGAGGGGCGAGGAGCGAGCGGCGAGGGGCGAGCGGCGAGCGGCGAGGGGCGAGGGGCGAGGAGAGAGGAGCGGGCGAGCGGCGCCCGCGCAGCGCTGCGGAGCGCCACAGCGACACCTGCCGGCCGCGGCGGGCGTGCTGCGGGCCGGGGCCGAGCGGGAGGGAGCTCTGTGTGCGTGAGGGTGTTTCTGTGTCTGTGTCTGTCTCTGGGTGTGAGAGTGCTTCTGTGTCTGTGTGTGTGCGTGTTAAAAAGGTCTTCACCGCTTTCTGAGGTTTGCAAGCCGCGGCTGAGCTGCGCCCGCCCGGCGCGCTGCGGGCGGTGGTGATGCGCGGAGTGGGGGCGCGGCGGTGGCGAGGCAGCGCTTGCTGGCCCGCTGGCTTTTGTACGTCTCTTGTTTGAGTTCGAGTTTCAAAAAGGAGCTCCTTTTCCTTTTGTACCCCCACGACTACAAACAGTCCATGGAAGAGACAGGCCATTTATAAATGGGCAAATCTTCTTAACGCAGAGTTAGTCTGGCAATTACCCTCACCCTTCAAGGGGCGGCGGACTGCAGAACTGATAGTCGTATTTCCTTCTTTCCCCCTTTGCTGCTGATTTATAGCCAGTAGCTTTTCTTTCCCCTCCTCCTGCTCTCCTGTAGTGCCCTGAGAGGAGAAAGGAGGGAGCTGAGCTCCCTTTGTCCCCTGTCCTCGCATTCCCTTTGACCACCCATTCCAAAAGTGAGAAGGAGAATCGGAACCTCCCAGAAGCTGTTCTCCACTTTTCCCCAAATCTGTAAATCTCACAGCTTGCACAAGGCAACATATGGTCAGATCGTTCCCCTCTTCAACATGCCCTCTGAATTCAGCCAGCTTGTTACATGAAGAAAATATTTTAGTGATTCATTATTTAAATATTTCTGGAGTATCATAGTTATTTAAATATTTCTTGTATTTCATAATTTTTTATGCCCTACTGATAACTGCAAGAGAGTTGCTGTTGATTAATGCTACCAGTCAAGATTTTCTCTGCATGTCAGAAAGATTAAACTCAATAGCCAGGGGTGTTTGGTATTTCACGGTAGTATACAGGATTTGGTCCCATAAAATGATGCTCGGTTTATCAGGAGTGCTTGTGATAGACCATGAGATGAGAGTGTTAGACTTAGGGAAAGAGAGCAACTGTACTCAAGCACTTAATTTTTACTATGCATGTCTTTGTCCTATTATTTAATAAATCGATTACTTTGATCATAATTATAGTTTTCTTAAAATGAAGTTTTTAATGATGCATTGTGGTACTTAGGGTTTTTTTATTATATTTTATAACCACTTATAGATGAGCATTGCAGTGCCATAGTTATTCCTGATAATGCAGGAAAACCCTGTGCTCATAAAACTAAACTTTGAGAAGATGAGTTTTTACTGTGGTGTTGGAGCTGCAGCTCATATTCACACCATATGTTCACACGCTGACTTCCTATTCTTTAATTTTT